TAATTATATATATAATAATAACACATATAATAATATAATTACAAAAATACAAAATTGTTTTTCTGTGATGAAATAGTATTTATATGTGAATTTCTTCAAAATTATTCCTAATATATTTACTCAAATTAATATTTAAAAATCATGGTTTGAAAAATATATATAATATTAATATACATATATGTAATTAAATTGAATTATTACTGAAGAATGAATTAAATAAAATTAAAATAAATAAATTCAAATAAATTCAAATAAAATAAAAATAAAATAAGAATAAAACATGAATAAAACATATTATCAACAAAAGATAATTTTTGAAATATTAAACTGTTAACTATTAACTATATTAAACTATAAAATAGTTATAAAATAGATAAAAATAGAATAGATATAAAATAGATAATAATTAACTTTTATAGAAAATTGTTAATTAATTTCTTTTTTATTTCAATTTATTAAATTTTTTTGATGTTAAATTTTGCTATTATTTAAAAACTATTAGTGTATTAAATAAATAAAATTTATTTAATTTCTATTATTCAATCTATTAGTTTCTATTAATTAACAAATATTTTATATACTATAAGATATACTAAAAGATAATCAATTTAATTAATTATAAATAAATATATAGAACATTAATTAATTAATATTGAAAATGATATGCGAATATTATTTTGAATAATTATAAGATTAAATAAATATATTTCTTTTTGTTGTTTCTTACATATGATTCTTTTTAATTTTTATTCTCCTTGATTTGAATATTTATGTTTCTTATAATATAATTCAATGAGAAAATATTTATTATATATTATATATTATTATATACATATAGACTTTATTATTTGTTTTTTTATTATCTTTTATTTCTTATTATTATTTTTATATTTATACTTATATTTATTTTTCTTATTATTATTTGAAATAATTAAACATTTAAAACACTTGAAAATAATTAATTTTTTAAATAATATTTTATTTTTATTTCAAATAAAAAATATTTAAGAAAATGCTAGAAATTATTATATATTTACCATATTATTTTATAGATAGA